GAGAGCTATTTCGTTTTTCAAATCGATCGTCCCCGAAGAGCCAATCTCGCAGCCACTGAAACGATTAACCTCGCCGCTTTCTAACTAATCAACATATATTATATCCTGACTACATGCGCGTATGTATAACGTGACATTAACATCTTCCATTCTTTTGAGCGACATGCCCGCGATTCATAAATTTTATACATTATTGCTTTTCCACGTCACGCACGCACAATCCGCCTCGCGCTTTTTCTCATTTCTGATTATTCAACAATTTTAATTTAATTAAATTGTTACTATTTAATAGGATCCTCTTTCTAGTTCATTAAATAATACTTACTAATTAAAATTAACCAACGTGTCGAGAAGGGACATGTTAGTGTTGCATTAAACCACAATAAATCTGATTCTCCATTCTCATTTTTTCTTGTACCATATTTCTGTTGTATGTATATTGGATATCAGTTTTTATCTGTCCTATACGTTTTAAGCGGAAAATAAAGTTTATGATTAGCAACATAAAGGTATAGTTATTGAAAGATTAAGATATAATTTTTAGATAAAAATTTAAAATGCTGCTATTGCAAAGATAAATATAGATAATTAGGCACAGTTTGGTCAACAATTCGGTAAAATTAATTTTAAAAAGTACTTGATTATAATTGTAATTGATTCTAATTTCTTTTTTGTACAATGAGATCGGAAATAATGAAATTACGATGCATATAATAGCGTGAATTAAATTATAACGCAAAGTAATTATTGCTAAAGAGGAATACGAAAGAACGAAATGATATTCACACCGGCATTTGCGCGTTTATAATCGCTTTACAATCTGCACAGTAATAGTACAATTTATATTATTATTTAATGTAATATAATTCAGGGAAGAGCGCGGGGAACGATTGGCACGCACAAACGCACTCTCGTATTTTGCACGCAGGATTCACACGCACACAAGGCGATAGTTACACTCGCGCTTAGATCGACGAATGTCACCTAATTGAATTACCGTATTACAACTTGTCGTCTAATTCGCACTTGTCCATGTACAAACAATATGCAGCCAGAACGCACTGGCTGTCTGCATTTATCTTGCATTACTTATATTTATATATATATATATTTATATAT